GTATTGGGGAGCATTTCGGGTGAGGCCCGGCTGGGCTTGAGGGGCTCCCGATTCCCTCATGGCTTCCGATTCCCTCAGGGCTCCCGATTCCCTCAGGGTCCCTGCCTCATCTGCCTCATGGAGAGTGCCAGGTTTGCATGGAGAGGCCCTTCTGTGCTTGAGGGCTTTGTGGGAAGCTGGGAATGGCTCAGGCTGGGAGGATTCTGTGGCAGGGGAGGTGTGCTGGGTGCTGAGCCTGGGCCCTTGGAGCTCGTTCCTCTGCTCCAGGGGAAGCAGCGCCAGCACTGAGCCTCTCAGGCAGAACCCAGGCCTGAGTTCTTCAGACCTAAATCCCCCTCACTGCCGTGGTTTTGTGTCCTCCTCCCCTGTCCCTGCTCCAGTTGTTTTGGGATTTCATCTCTCTCTTGTGTTCTGCAGGCAGAGCAGGGAGCCAGGAAAAGGCTGCTGTTGTTTGCTGGGTCGTACTGCGGGCTTTATTCACATTCCATATCCGGCTTTTATGGTTCTGCTCCTGCTTTTCCCTTGAGTGTCTCTGTGCTCTTTGTTTTGCCTTCCTTGCTGGGTTTGCAGCACAAGCCGTGGGTGCTCCATGCGGACTGGGCATCTCTGCAGAGGTTTTTGGCATGTTCTGGATTTGGGGTAAATATTCCAAGCCCAGGAGGGGTAGTTCTGATTTTGAAATCCAGATTTTCAGCTGAGCTCCACATCTTAAGAGCTTGGGGACTGGAATTTCTGCCTGTGGTTGTCTTGGTCATTAAATATTAAGTGAGGCTGCTCCTGCTGGAGGGTTCATCCAAACACTGAAGGCTCTGAGCTGTCAGGGGAAGGGGCTGGGAGCCCCAGAGTGTGCAGGGATGGATACTGGGCCGTGCTAAGGATAAGACCCCAGGAATACTGACACTGCTCAGATGGATGGGGATGAGGCATCTGTGATTCACTCACTTGGCTGTGGTTGCCTTTAAGAAGCATTGGGCATGAGCTGTGAGAGCAGAACTGGGGGGGTTGGACTTCACACTCTCTGCATTAACACTGCAGGATCCTGTCAGGAGCCGTCAGCTGCATCTTGCCTTGGAAAACCTGCTGCTGGCTCCAGGCTCCAAGGCCTCAGCTGCATTCCAGCTGGGAGCAGGGACACAAATGTGTTGGGGCACAGCGAGAGCTGATGCTTCAAGGGCAGGGAATCTGTGAGCTCCCAGCCTCCTCCTTTCCATAAGTTCCAAATACTGCAATTCTCCCTCCCTCAGACAGGGAAGTGCCCCAGGATGGAGGGTCACAGCCAAAGGAGCTCATGGAAACAGGAGAAATGCAATTAGAAAAGGCCTGGCCCTGCTGCCTCCCCAGGGACCTGCTGGGCACTCCCAGCACCACTCAGGAATCCTCTTAGGGAGCTCTGCCAGCAGGCACCGCCCAGATGAGATAGCAGCATTTCCCCTCTTCCTGCCATCCCTGTTCCCTGGAGTGTCTGCAGGGAGGGGGTGCTGCCCTTCACTGCCCAGAGACAGCAACAGAGGCTCCCCTGGCCAGCGAGTGCTTATCCCAGAGCAGGCACGGCTCCTCCTGGAGCCCCACGCCCTCCCAGACACTGCCCAGAGCCCGTGGACAGCAGGAGGGAGTCCTGGGAAGCAGGAGCAGAGCACTGGGCCCAGGCAGGCCGGGAAAGGCAAACCTAATCCTGCTGCATCCATTTAGGGAATGCAGGATTTGTGAATTGTCTCCTTGAGAAACAAAGGGGGAGAAATATGCAGTTCTGGGGACTCCAGGCTGCAGCTGCAGATGGTGTCCAATTGGGAGATTCCCACTGAACGTGCAGAATCAGGAAAAAAGGGGTTTATTTTAATTTTCAGTTGATTTAGAGCCTTTAATCTTTGTCAGGGTAGGCAGTGATGCCTCTGGCTTAGTGCCACAATTCCTGTGCCAGGCGCTGCCCAGAGCCCCCCCAGCAGTCACAGCCCTGCCCGGGGTGGGAAAAAGTTGCTGAGCAAGAAAATGTTGGGATTCATCCAAACAGGGAAGGCTTGTGAATGAGCAACGTATGAATGCTGCACATTAAATGTGCCCCAGTGCATCCTTGCCCTGTTGGAGGGAGGCACTGGGCTGTAATTGGTTCTTGGCTGCAGCAGTAATCCCTTGGGAATAACACAGCTAATTAAAGCCTGGGAGCTGGTGACCAGCAGCTTCTCCTCTCTCCCAGGCTGGGGCTGTGCTAATCAGGGGCAGGTAGATCCCAGCAAGTTTTGTGTTAATCAAGAAGGGAAGGACTGGGCTTCAAAGCTCGGGGCTTTGTCAAATCCTGAATGTCCCAAGGGCTGGGCTGGGGGAGAGTTTGGATCCTGCTGGGCAGGAGGGATTGGCTGTGCCTGGAGTGTGGCTGCCTCCCTTGGGGCTGGGGTTTTGGGGGACAGAGCTGAAGATGTGAACTGGGGAGGTGCTTTTGTTATCTTTTAAAAAATGTTAAATGCTCCAAAGCTTCGGTGGGACGGAGGGAACTGCAGCTGCTCAGCTCCTGTGAGGGTCAGGACTTGGGACTCATGAGCAGGATCTGGAGTGAGGCCAGGTTGGATGGGGCTTGGAGCACACTGGTCTCTGGAAGGTGTCCCTGGCCTATGGAAGGTGTCTCTGCCCATGACAGGGAGTGGGACTGGATGAGCTTCAATGTCTCTTCCAGCCCAAACCATCCTGGCAATCTGTGATTCTGAACCTCAGCCCATGTGCAGCCAGAAGGATTAAAGTCTCTGAGGGGACAAACAGAGAAGTGAGTGAGAACCTCTGCATAAAACAGAGACAAATCCCACTGTCAGTTCTGGTGTCAAATACTGGAAGGTGTGAGCCACAAATGTTATGGAAATCCTGGAGAAAGTTCTTTGTGGGGAGAGACTAACCCAGCTCATGGACAAGACCAACATTGCCTTTATTTCTGTGCAAACACCTCAGGGGAAAGGCCAGCTACTGAAAGGTTTTGTGTTTGGCAGGCAAAGGAAGGAGGAACAAAGGCAGGAGCTGAGGATGGACAACTCCAGCTGGAAAGGAGGCACATGCTGGTTACCAGGAGGGTAACTGCTGGAACACTTGAGCAAGGAACTGTTTGGTTTAGGAGCACTTGTATTTAAAAGATGGTGTTTCATAAAACAGTTTTTTCCTAGCAGAGGTTGTAAATCCAACAAGTGTGACTCAAAACTCCCTGGCACTCCCTGAGTTGTGGCCAGTGGCACCAGGAGGAGGCACCAGTGATTTTACTGGTGGCAGCTGTGAGGACTAGCTTAGACATTAAAAAAAACACTTAAAAATCAAAAGCAAGACACATGCACTTGTTCAGGATTTGGACAATGCAAAAGGACTTTCAGACAATTAATTGGAATTTTGCCTGGAGCAGAACTTGCTGTGCTGGCAGATAACACCTGCCAGAGGTCCAGCTGGAGAGTGGCCCTGAGGAGGCAGGGATGACCTGGAGGTTTGAGTTCTCAGTACCAGCATGCCCAACTCCCAGTGACTTTCACACAATCCAATTAAATTACAAACACTAATCAGCTGCAGCCCTGCTTCCTTTGCCCTTCCCTTCATTGGAAACTCCAGGTGCACATCAGGCATCCTGCAGGGGAGTTGCACAATGATTTGATGATGTGTTTGCACAGCAGGTAGGAAATTCAAAAGCTTTGTTGTGCTTCTATTTCCCAGAAATTCCCCAGTCTCCAGCTGAGGATGAATATTTGCAGCTCCCCAGGCTTTCAAAGGGGTGAAGCAGGAACAGAGTGGAAGGAACAGAAATCCTGTCCCTGGAGCAGCAGGTTGGAAAAGGCCACTGGTAACTGGGCACAAGAGCCAGCCACAGGTGAGTGACACTGCACACAGTGGGGGCAGGGACAGAAACCCACTGGTCAGAGCAATGAAATGTTAAAGAATTATTAAAAAATTAAAATTTAAAGCATCCAGGGTAGTTCCAAAGTGGCTCCATTTTTGTCCATGCCAGGGGTGTCCTGGGATGCTGCAGGTGAGTGGAACCAGGGCCAGCAGGTGCCCCTGAACCCAGCCCTGCCCAGGGCTCCCTGCAGCAGCCTGGGCACCTCTGCTCTGCACTGCTCCAGGTTTTAGGGAAGATTATTATCATTTCTACTATTCCCAAGCCACTGAGCCTTCCCTGCAGAGCAACAGAGGTTTCACAGCTGATCCAACCCCAGGCCCAGCTCTAAACTAAACTAAAAATGCAGCGGGACAGATTTTAACAATCAAAACAACTCTGCACAGCTGCAGAGACAAAAATGACATTAAAGCACCAAACCTGCTGTGCTTGGAAAGGCTTTTCCTTTCAGTGAAAGGCTGCAGCTCCTGAATTTCAGACACACAGAGACTTCCTGAAATGAATTGGAGATGACACCCAATAGCCAAGGCAGCCACTGCTAATTATTTAATTAAATCATGTACTGAAATCTGCATGGAGACAACTGCAGAATCTGCCTCCAATGTAAGCACTTCAGCACTGACAAACCCCAGGAAAGCAGGAATTACAAAAGGCACCTTCTCCAAAATCTGAATGAACCACCACAACAGAATATATAATTATATATATATATGTACTTATATTTGTATTATTTGTATTTATATCATGCCCTGGTTTGGGCTGGAAGGGACCTCAGAGGTCATCTCATTCTAGAAACACTTCCAAGTCCTCAAGGTCCAGTTACTGTGGAGACCTTCTGCAATCAACTCCTGTGCATCCCTGCAACATGAATGGATCCCAGACAAGCACATTTCATTTGGAGGTACCTTTACAAGGTGTGCAGATGGAGAGGGAGGCACAAAATGTCATTGCTGCCTTCAGAAAAATTAATACCCAGTAAGCAAACTGCTGGAAGGGTGGCATGAAGTTAAATGACAGCACTGCTGCAAGCAGGGCCAAAACCCCCCCTGCTTCCTCTGAGTGTCCTGCCAGGTGTTGTTTGTGGGACCTTCATCACCAAACCCCCCTGGGGGAGGGCTCAGCCCAGGCAAGAACCTCACAAGGCCCAGAGCAGAAGTACCAAGCCTTTATTGGAAGATCCATGGTTCCAGGGCAGAGCTGTGTCCAGGGGCCAGTCCCACCCAGCTGAGGGTGGGCCAGTGCTGCTGCTGCATCTCCCCATCCCCAGGACACCACCAGCCTCTGTCCCAGCCTTTGGGCTCCCCTGAGCTGCTGCTGCCAGCACCGAGTGGGCCAAACCAAGGAACTGCCTCTTGGAAAAGCCAAACACCGCAAGGGAAGGGGAAAAATAAATAAAAAAAAGAATAAATCACACACTGGACACAGTTATCACTATGAGACGTTGAATGAGTTGCTTTACATCCACATTGCAAATAATTTCACAAGCTGGGAAATGAGTTTGCTGAGTCTCCTGTTGCCCTGGGGGTGGAGGGTGTTGGTTTGCTGGATCCTGGCACGGGATGTCAGAGCCACACTGAATCCATGTTATCTGTTGTTGTTGGGGTTTTGAACAAAGTTGATGGAGTAGGAGCCAGTTGATGAATCCTGTTTGATCTGGAAGTTCTCTGTTGACAGGCCAAAGGGACGCAGCACCAAATTGCCCAGATCCTTCAGTTTGCCTGCAGTGACATTCCAAGAGAACACAGTGAGAGCTGAGCAGAGGAAAATCCCATGGAATTCCACCCAGCTACAGCCCAGCCCTGCTGATTTATCCAGCACAGGTAAATGCTGAGGAAATCTCTGCATTTTGTTAATATTTAGGCTCTTAGCAGGAATTAAAAACCACTGTTAAATATCCATAGAGTATGAGAGTTAATAAAGTCCTGTCAGTATAAGGATCACTCTGGAAAATGGGTCTTGCTACAGCTGTAAGAGGGGAAGGACAACCAAAGGACATCCTTTAAAAAATCCTATACAGAAATTACAGAATAGATAAAGTGAAACAGGAAGCAGAGGTAACAACTTCACTGCTGGCTGAACACAAACCCCTGGCATGACAACACAAAGGAAGAAGATGGCCAGTTTTCAAAGAAAAACATTCTTTTCCTCCTGGTTTCAATGTAGAACTGCAGATTTCCCAAAGGAAAAGCAGAAGTTTGGACAAGTTGAAGCCTTCTCAAGGTTTGCCTCCCCAGGCAAACCCCATCTCTCCAAAAGCTCCCACCTGCACTGATCCTCAGGGACTGGGTTTTGTTTTGCTGAGAGCTGAGTGTGACAACAGAAATTGCTGCCATGGAAAATCCACTGAGCAGCTGCAGCAGCCAAGGGCCTGGAACACCTGGGAATGCCACAGCTATTCCTGCCTGGAGGGGCTTGGAGTCCTGAGAACCCCCTGGCACTGTGCTCACCTCCCCTGGGCCTCTGGGGCAAGTGAAATCCTGGAATTTGGGATGGAAGGGACCTTAAAAATCATCTATTCCACCCCTGCCATGGCAGGGACACCTCCCACTGTCCCAGGTCTCCCAGCCCCTGTGTCCAGCCTGGCCCTGGGCACTGCCAGGGATGCAGGGGCAGCCCCAGCTGCTCTGGGCACCTGTGCCAGGGCCTCACACCCTCACAGGGAGGGATTTCTTCCCAGTATCTGGAAAAAGAAAACCCTGAGCCCACCAAAGCAAATTGGTGGGTAGACACAAATTTCCTTCAACTTGACTTTTTAAATGGGAATTCACAGATGAGGTGGTTCAGGGATGTGGCCAAAGTCAGCCCAACAGCAGCTCAGGTAGGATTAAACTCTTTGTACATCTTTATTATTTTTTTAAGGTACACCTGTTGAAGATGACATTCATCCCGTTATGCAGCACCCTGAAAGTATTTTGGCTATAAGAGCATTTTGGTAGCATCTGTCTGAGTAACATGAAGAGGTTTTTTTGAACTTCTGGACACACATTTGGCCAGGGCTGAGCTTCAGGTCTGAGCTTCAGGTCTGGGGTGAGCAGTGTCTCAGTGGAGAATCCTGCAGAATCTGGCATGGCTGGGGCTGGGCAGGAGGGCAGAGCCTGCCTGGCAGGACACTGGAGAGGTTTCTTCCAATTGCAGGGAGCTGGATGCTGTTTTCCAAACCCATAAACAGCCCCTGCAGCTGGAGCAGCTCCCCAGCACAGCAGGGCTTGGGGCTTTATGATAATTCCAGCAGCACATCCCTGCTCACCTTCCTGCTCTGTCCCTCCCCAGGCAGGCTCGGGGCAGCCACACTGAATTAATTGTTAATGAGGCAAAGAAAGCCTTGGCTTTTCCGGGCACTCCAGGCCGGAGCTGCTGCTGCTGTCCTGGCACACACAGAGCCAGCATTGTAGGGGAGCTCTGTCTCCTCCTCCCACAGCTCCTTTCAGCCCTAAATTAAGGGCTGCAGTGAACTGCAACCCCCTGCTAAAGAAAAGCTCCCTCACAGCCTGTGCTGGGAGGAAGGAAAAGGCACCACGTGGAGCTGGGACTCAGCTGCACAGGCTGCCCAGCCTCCACCACTCCCTGTCCCCAGGCAGGGTCACCTCTCCTCCCTCTGCCCTTATTCTCACACGTTTTGCTCTTTTTCTTTCAAACACACCCTGTTTATTTTCCACCTGCGACTCCAGCACATTCAGGTTTTTCACCAAAGCAAATATTCAGAGGTTAACAAGAAAACAGAACTGTAAAAATCAATTTCGGGCTCAGAAGTCTGTGATTCATTACTCACCTAAACTGCAATTCAACACCCATTGAAAGAGGCAGATGCAGGAAAAGATTACTCACAATTTACATTAAGATGTAACAGCCAAAATTAATTGCTATTCAGTCTTTCTGGCAATAATTCTGGCTTAGTTGCTGGTGCTAATGTGAGGTTTGGAAGTTGAAAAGCTCCATCTTGCTTGTGTAAAGAATTCTTTTGGAGAAAAGACAAATTTCCTGATGAGGTCTCTTCTCTGTGTAACTTCTTGTATTACCAACATTTTTAAGCAATTAAAAGAGCAAGGGCAAATCCTTCTCCCTTCCCTAAATGGTAAATGAGGACTGAACTGTAACTGTAATTTGGCTCTGATTTAACTACTTAAAATCACCTTGTGCAGGGTTGGGCTTTAGCAGCTCTGCTGCAAACAAAACATAACTGTCAATAGAAAAAAAACCCAAACAAACCCCATAATTCTTTAGGCACAAAGCCTGATAAATGTCTTTGCTGATCTCAGGTAGCTGGAAAAATCTCTTTTGGGCAGGAAGGCCCAGGTGAGGAGCTCTGGCCCCCAGACTGCTAAAACCATTCCAAAGCTCCCCTCTCCTCACACCCTCTCCCTAAAGGAGTGGCTTCTGATATCACACTAATTATAGAAGTCTCTGAACAAGGCTGCAAATCGTTGGCCTTAAGGAGAGAAACAAAAAGCACCCCAGAGAATGGTCACTGTTCACACCTCAGTCACTGGGCCAGAGGATGCTCAGAAGGAGGAAAAGCCTCTTGGATTTCACATCTCCTGCCCCAAGTCCAGCTCTCTGATGTGAGCTCAGGGCTCCCTTCATCCTGAGCAAGCTTCAGTGCCAAGGGGCTGATCAGACATGGCAAGAACTGAAATACAAAAGTCAGCCCTGCAGAAGGGACACACAGCAGCAGAGGGCTTGGCCTGGCCACAAACCAGGATTCTTCTGGTACATCAACCTCACAGTCAGATGGGCCAGGAGCAAAATCCAGCCAGGAATGTGAGCTCTGGGTTATTTACACACAAGCACTGCACAGGGGGTTCAGCCTCTGACAGAAAGGAGCTGCAGCCCTGGGAAACAGGAAGCGCACTTGGGAAGGAGGAGGATGCACTCCATTTATCTGGCTTTGTTTGTACACAGCTCCAGTTCCATGACAGTGGCGATGGCTGGGCAACCCAGGCCTTGCTTGAGCTGAAAGAATAAAAGCTCAGCAAAACCAGGAGAGGCCAATTCACTGCCTGAGGATCAGCTCAAGATCCAAAGGAGCCAAAGCACAGACTGGGACACACAGAATTTCAGTTTGGAGTCAGTGCTCCTGCTGCAGGCCTGGCCTGAACTATCAGGATGCCTCAGACTTGCTGTGCTGGAGCCCAAAAGTCTGGAATTCAACCCAGGCACCTGAGCTGCCCCCTGGGAAGGCAGGAATGTCCCCCTGGCACTGCCCAAGCCCAGCCACCCAGCTCCAGCCACAGTGCCATGAGCCAGCTCCATCCTGGCAGTGGGAAATGCCATCAGGAAGGGTGGGAAAGGGGAAACCGCTTCAAACAAATTCATGTACAACAAAACAATCCAAAGGAATCTCAGAACCACCACATTCCATCGAGTTTTTCTTCTCCCACTCCTTCCAGAACTCCCATCCAGGCCCCCCTTCAGGCCTTCCTTTGCAAACCTTGGGAGTGTTTCCTTGCTCCACGGCATCCCCACTGCCTCCCCTAACAACAGCACACAGGGAACCCTGGAACACTCAGGAGCAGAGCTGCCCACATTCCTGACTTCATTTCAGGAGAATGTTTTGTAAAAATCCTCAGTTTGTGTGACAGCCACCATGCCACCATCATTGTCACTTAACCAGAGCTGTGACAACCCAACACACACGAGGCTGGGCATGAACACAGGTTCTGTGTTGTCCTACCCTGCTCTCAGTCTGGCTCCTTGAATCCTTGTGTGACATCACTGAGAAGGGATTTCTCTCTCCAGAATCCCAACAGAAACAGTCTGAGTGGTTCCCAAAAGCCCAGCCCAGTTCTGAAATCTCAACTGCCACTTTTGAAGTATTAACACTGCTAACAGAAATCCCACCTAGTCTGACACCCAGGAAAAAAGCAGCAGTGCAGGGGCTGGATTTACTGTTCCAGTCAAATCCCTTGTGATTAGTGAGGCCCTTTGGAGTTCAGCAAAGATCAGGAATTATTTTCATATTACTTTGTGCTGGAACCCACCCCATGTCCTACCCATGGGCCTGATCCTTCCGGAGATTTCTGCATTTATCATTTATTTATAGCCCCACCACCCTTAACCTGCTTTATTTGGGGCTTGTTCCCAGCACAATGGGGGAAGCAGGCTCTGATCCTGTAAAGCTCTGCAAAGCCTCACTGACACTCTGCTAGGTCAGGGCAGAACAAAGCCAGAGCAAATCAGAGGCTGCAGAAAAGAAATTACAGAAAAACATCAGCATAAGCTGAAACAGTCTCTTCTTCCCAAATACACCAAGAATCAGTGTAAAAGACAGGCTGAGTTGTTTAACCTGATTTTCTGCAGAGCAGCCAAACACTGCCTTAGGAATGGTAATTCCACTCCTGGTGCTCACCCTGGCTGGGTCCAATTCAGCCTCCAACCAAACAGCAATGAAATGCTGAATAAATCAAGGCAATGAAATGCTGAATAAATCAAGGCAAACACGAACACTTGGAGGTCTCTGGGCTGGAAGTGCTACAGAAAGAATCACATTTATTTCTTCAGCCCCCAGATCAAACATGCCCAGTTATTCCAGCTGGGGGAGTTCCTTTAGGCACAGGTTTAGTGCAAGCCCTGCTTTATCCCTTTCATGGGAATGTTTGCTTTGAGGGTTTATTTGCAGGGAGAAAGGGCTGAGCAGTTGGGCTGTGTCAAACCACCTTCCCCAGCTCTTACATACACCAATATGAAATTGTTTTAGAAGGTTTTAAGTTTTCTTTTTTTAAATGGAATAATGGCCTTTTCTGCATGGGAGAATTCCTTGTCTCCAGTTTACTGAAGGTGAAACCAAGCAATTGAGAACTACAAAGAAATCAGGAGTTTTGTTTAACACTGAACAAATATTTCCTTTCAGATTTACCTCTTCTAAATTTTATGCAAGAGATTCCATTAATGCATTTTTTCCTAGTAGATTATGAAGGTTTTTTATCAAAGTACATGCTACTCACCCAACATTTCTTTCTTTAATTTTTCATTCCTCTCCTCAATTTGCTGTGGTAATCTCTGTGGAGAGAGAGGAAAACTGGAATCAGATCCCTGCTTTCACTAATGCTCCCATTTTGGCCAGCAGCAGTGACAGACACAAATCCTGGTGTGCAGCTCCAGAACACTGCTCATGCAGAGCCCAGCACCTCCCACTCCAGGAATGCCTTATGGACACCCATTTCTATCTGGTGTCTGTGATACTCAGCCCAAACTACAGATGCTTCTGGGAAATCTCTTCATCTGCCCTAAAATCCCTCAAAAACTGTGTGGAGGCTGAAATTCTCCCATCAGTTACACACCTGTGAAAACCCAACCCTAACCACTGCTTCCATGGAATGAAACTTTCTGGGAAAGCAGCAATAGGGGTGATTTGAGCACAAACATGGTAATCCAAACTGCTTAGTCTGGCATTGAAAAAGTCAAAAGTAACTGAGGATTGCAATCAGAACCCCAGCTCTGCACTCCTGGAATACAAACAGTGCTCGAGTATTGGAGCAGGTACCAAATCAGGAATCAAAGAACTATTGTGCATTTCATATTTTAATCTGTCATTTAACAGGGTCATGACATTCCCTAGAGCAATGTGAGATCATTCCTGTGGGCAGGGAGGAGGAAGATTTGCTCTAACTGTGAATGAAACCCATTTGCAGATTTTCTTGAGGCATCATTTTCATTGCCAGTGAGGGGGAAAAGATCCTGTGATATTCCTGCAAGGCAGAGACACTTTTACCTGACAGCAGGGCAAGGCTTCTCAGCCTCCTCCAGGTCAGAGATGTAACCAGGTATGTGGAGTCAACAGCTGCAACTTGGGGGGTTTCATTATGAAATTTAGAGATTTATGATGAATATTTGAAAAGTGTAAAATTATAGCTGTCAGGATTTCTTTAACAGGTTTTCAAGAAGGGAGTTTTAAGCTTCAGTCTCAATAGCTTGCTTCTTCCCTCAAATCTGACAAGGAGCAGCTGAAGGAATGCCAGGGCAGGGGAATCTGAGGGCATTTTGTGCAAAGGGCTCTGCAGCCAAAGGCTCTGCCTGGCCAAGGGGCTCAGGGAGCAGGAGGGGGTGAACCCCACCCTCTGCACTGCCCAGGCACAGAAATCAGGAATGAACATTGAATAAATTCTGAACTGGGCCTGAAGGAGCAGCAGCCCTGCTGGGGATTCCCTGCTGGGGCTGTGGGATCATCAGGGCACAGCCACGGGGAGGAATCCTGGCTCTGCAGGGCTCCATGGAACAGCACCAGCCAGCCCTGGGGTGTCACTCACAATCCTGGGCCATCCTCAGAGGGGAGAGACCACCAGGACCATCCAGCCCAGCTCTGGCCCTGCACAGAGCCAAGAAGCCCAGCCTGGCATCCCTGAGCAGTGTGGAGACCCTGCTGGAGCTCTGGGCTGTGCCCATGCCCTGGGGAGCTGCTCCTGGCCCAGGGGGAGCCCAGCCCAGCTCCAGGTCCTTGCTGGGAGCTCAGCTGTTTTATGGGCTCACCCCTCACCACCAACAGCACTCACACAGTTAAGCAGAATATTTTCTGCCATCAGTGCAACTGATCCAGTCCCCCAGGAAATCATTCCAGGCAAGGTTTCTTGCCTAATATGCCATAAAAGCTGTTCCTAATCTGTCACTTACAACAGCACAGTGTGGGGAAAAGGGGGGCACAATCACTGCTAATGATTTATTTTCCCAAATGGAGACTTAAAACAATTAAGCCTTTCAAGAAGATTTTTGTAACAACATATTCAGAGTGGGTTTAGAGACAAATCTGCAGGTGATGCACGTGAGTTTCTTTTTCCTTCTGAGGCAGAATGCATTGCAGGCTCACTGTGAAGCTGAACCAAAATAATGAAAAATAAGTTAGGCCAAAGTTCACTGAAAGGCTTAAGCTTACCATGCAAGCTTCTCTGGCTTGATGAACTGAGGGGTCTTTTTCTAGGACTGCCTTATAATCTTCCAGAGCTTCATCTAATTTTTCTGTTTTTTCATAGAGTTCTGCTCTCCTCAGCAAAGCTCTGACATAGTGAGGGTCTAATTCCACAGCTGCAAAACAAAAGCAAAGCCCAGGATCGTACTTGAAACATTTCCCCAGCCCTCAAATGAATTCTCAAGTGTGTATTACATTTGTGAGTTGTCCTTAGAATGTAACTGAGGATCAAGCAGAGGCACAGCTTAAAGCTAAGCTGGAATTCAGGAGCAGCTGCCTGGGACAGTCTCATGATCATGTTTCATTTAATGTCCACAACCTCTCACAGATGGAAGTGATTTATGATCACAAAGCTTTAAATGTGCAATCCTATCCGTGCAGGGATTCTAAGTGATGCTACAGAAACTTTAAGGACCTGCAAGACATTTCAGTTTTTGTGTGTTTAGCAAGTGGCTATTATTAGATTGCAGCTAAAGTTAAACATCCCTCCAGACACACACAGCAGGGAAAATCAGCCTTGCCACGCTTATCTCAGTTCAAGTGGAGACAAACTCCAGGAGAATTTCTGGAGCTCTTCTGAATTTAATATCAAACAGTTCAGGTTGTGTTGGGAATGCACAAACAGTGATTTCAGCCCTGAGAGCTGGCAGAGGGGCATCTGAATCTCAGCTCTTCCTCCCCTCACTCCCTTGGCAGCCAGGGCTCTTTGCAGTGCAGTTCAGACTGAATGCTAAACTCAGCAGTCACCTCCACATGGTAATTCCTCAAGAATTCCTTCATCCATTTTCCACCACAGGAACAGGGAATGTGAAAGATTTCACCACAGAAACAGGGAATGTGAAAGATTTTTCAGCACAGAAAGAGCTCTGTCTATTTTATAATTTCCAGCTCATTAAAATGGTTCTGGGGACAATTAAATCTCAGATTATCCAGGTGAATATTCCAGTTTATCTTCTGGCAAGGACAAAGGCAATGGCACAGTCAGCAAGCTGCAGGTGACTGAATTGCTCTGCTGTGCTCCAGTCCCTGGGGAGTGCCAGGCCCTGGCAGCTGAAGTCTCCCTGCTCAAAGCACATTGATTTCCTCTGAGCCACTGCAAAATTCAAGGTGCTTTTCAGAAAGCAGCAGCTCCAAAACCAGGCAAAGCCCCAGCGAGAGAGGCCAGGGGGGATTTGGTACCTCCAGGAGCCCTTTCAGCAAGCACAGCTCCCATTTCTGTGCAGGCAGGGCTGGCACACAGCCACTGGATTAGTTCTCTGATTGGTAATTTGGATTTTTTCCCCAGCTGTCACAGGGAGTTTAACAAACACTCGAGGGTGGGTGAGTGGGTGGAAGCAATAAAGCAAAGCACAGCTGAACTGATTCCACCAGAAGGTGCAGAGACAGAACTGTGCAGGGCAGGAACAGGGGAACATAAGCCCTGGTGACAAAGCAAAAGCTGTGCAGGAAAGGGATTTGATAATGCTGTTAACTCTATAAAGCCTCAGAGTTCTTTGGAACCTGGGATTAAACCAGGATTTGGGGGGGATAGCAGGTGGAGGTGGGTTTGAAATCACAGGTGTGGGAAACAGCTTCCACAGAAAAGACTGTCCTCTTAAAAACAAGTACAAACTGCAGCCTTATGGTACAAGAGAATAGAAAGTAAATTACTGCAGATAGGAAAGGCTTGACAGACATTTTACAAAATAAGTAATACAAATCAGGTGATTTCTGTTCAGTTCTTTAAAGACCCTTATGCCCAAAATTACAGCTCTGCAGTAAAGGCACTAAATGACACAATTTATGTACAAAAATCTGGCACAAGGACAGAACAGAGAGGAAAAAGTACCTTTGGTGCAGTCACTCAGGGCAGCCTCTGTCTTGTCCTAGAACACAGAACAGTTTTGTTAGACTGAAGTCACATTTCTTCATGTCCCCAGGCCTGGAGGTGGCACTCGGTGCTCTGGGCTGGGGCACAGCTGGGACTGGAGGGCTCTGGTCCCTTCACAATTGCATTTGTGCCACACTCAGGCCAGTGTGACACACAATGAAAGCAGCACTGACCTGTTTCATTTTTGCAGCAGCTCTGTTGGAGAACAGAACAGCCCTGTCCTTCTGGAAGCAGGCTGGGCAGATCTGCAGGGCCTTGGTGTAGGACTCTTCTGCCTCTCCATAGTCTGCAGAGCAACAAAACCCAAACCAAACCATTCATTTCAAACTCTGAACCCCATGGCTGAGGCTCCTTTGGAAACAGTTCTCAGTATCTGCTGATGTGACACAGAATCACAAGCTGCTCTCAAAGATCATTACTGAGTTCATAAATACAATTGATTCTTTTAGGATTTACTTCATTTTGCCAATAAAAGCAGGAATCTACTGAGCTGAATGCACCAAGTGCAGCAGGAGTGGATGCAGTTCCCATCCCTGACTTTGTTTCCTCTTTGAGCAGAGGTGGAATCCTGTGGCTGAAGTGCTGAAAGCTGTCACTGCACTGCCCAGAGCAGCTGCAGGGAGCTTTTATGGCCACATCATCTTCACCTGACTGAAAGATCAAGGAGTGGCCTGGGGTGAGACCCAGCAGCACTGCAGGGCTGTGGCTCTCCTGGGCTGAGCACTTCCCTGCTGCCCTCTCTGATGCCTTCCAGAGCATCCTGGGCTGTGCTCAATCACTGCAGAGCTGTGTTCCCTCAGGACTCCATGAGGCATCTCCTGCCTGCTCCCCAGGGCACACAGATTCCCTGGGGCAGGCACTGCAATTCCTGCTGTCTCTGGGAATCCTCCACCCACAGCACGTTCAATCAAAGGCAGGTGTCAAAACCACTTTGCCCCTTCTGTTTGTTCACTAAAATCAATGTATAAAAGTACAAGGCAGCTACAGAGCCCCAGATCTTGCATCATTCTAAGCACAACCATGAGGCCAACTCAGAGCCCCAGGGAAACCTTTTCTGATCAGTGAAGGAAACCCTGGCTCTTGGAAGGCAGTCCAAAATCCATGGTTTTCATGGGAATCCTGCTTTAGTATCCAAACCTTTGGACTGAAACACCTCTAAAGGAGCTCTGATAGCTCTGTCTCTTCTCTAGAGCTGGATGAAAAATGCAAGAGGTGCTAAAATTCAACAAGGATGGTGTGAGGGCTTCCTCAGAGCTTCCTGCAGCACCCCCACGATGGCTCAGTACTAATGTGGGATATCCAACAGCCACAGGGTGTTCAGACATGACCAACCCACCTCCTTTCTTGAAGTGCTCGTTTCCTTTCTCCTTCAGCCCCGTGCTCTCCTTTCTTCTTTTCTACAAAAGGAAAGACAATGTCTCAGAGTATTCCACTGAAATGAGCAACTAGGTCAGCTGCAGCTCCAAATAAAGTATGGAAGGGAAGCAGAATGAAACAGAACCTGAAGAGTTTTAACTCTGCCAAGATCTGCTTGTAGACCCTGTGACATGAAACACTTTCTATATCCATGGAACACTGGAGTGTAACAGCAAGGCAATTAAAAAGCTTAACTCCACAGCCACCAGGATGCAGGGAGAGCATCCATGGAGAATTCCATGCTCTAAACCAACACATCAGCTTTTACTGGCTGTTTGCTTCTCCTTTCCAACCCCATTTAATTCACTCACTGCAGGTCAACTGTGCAGAATGTATTTTAAATGTAAAGTCTCACAAGTTTTGCTTGAAATAATTCCACCTCAGCAATTCTGGTTATTTCCAGAGATGCACAAGGAAAAGGTGCAGGCTGAGAAAGATTTCTGCCCTGCAAGATTTCTTAGGGGGAGTCAGAGAACCCCCAGAAGCGGGTTCTTTGTGCAGTGGGAGCTGCACGTGTGAGCAGAGCTGTGTTCTCAGGCATGAACATCCTGGCCCGAGGGGAGGCCAGGCTCAGGCTCCCAGGCTGTGACACAGAAACCCAGAATGTCCCCGAGCCATCCCTGCCACCCCTGACAGTCCTGACACAGAGCAGGCACCCTCAGAGCTCAGGGGTGTACAAAAGCCAGCCTTGGAGCACTGGATTTCCTCCCAGCACACAAAGGGCTTCAATGGAGGTGTCTGTAAGTGACAGATCACTGAGCAATTAAAAAGCCAACAGTAGGAAAAGGAGCAGTTTCCTTTCCTGCAGATTGTGTGAATCAAGGATTAATGCAATTATCAATATCACACAGAACATCTCCTTGGAAACAGCTAAATATAGCACAGAGTGTGGAGCACTGCAGCAGCTCCCAGCTATGCCAGGGAGCTGACAAACAGCTCCAAATCCCAGCTTCTCCTCCTGCTCTTGTGCCTTTGGGGATTGATTCCCCTGCCCGCTGGCACACCTTGGGAACAGAGCAGCCTCGGTGGGAGGACACTGAGCCATGGCACGGACTCCACAGCACAATCTCACCTGCCCACACCGCCCACAGACACAGGGCACACCAACCATGCAATTGTTCAGGAAGTGCCTTTGCCCAGGAAGGGCTGACAAACCCCCAGACCCTTCCACAGCACCCCAAGGGACACACTTGGTGCTTTGTAAACGTGAACACACAAATCCCACGCTTCAGGCTGCATGAAAATCCCAAATCTCTGTGTAATGCACAGCCCTGCTGCTCAGCACAGGGAATGGGGAGCTGCTACACCTCAGTTTTCCTGGGAGCAGACAGAAATTCCTGCCTGGACCCCACAAAAAGGCATTTTAAATATTCTGCAGGGCACAAAGGGTGACAACGATGCCAAGCTCTCGTGGCACTGAACAAAGCAGCCCCATGTGAGCACAGGGCAGGCTGAGATGAGGATCCTGCTGGAAAGATCTCCACAGATGCCCTCAGTGAGGGGAAGGGCTGCCTGAAACACAAACCCCACTGACTTCATTGCTCATGACCTATTTAGAAGTGGCCTTTCAGTGCCACGAGCACTCTCTGCTGCACAGGGCTCAGTTACAGCTCCACAAGAATGAAAGGATTTTTATCATCAACACAACTACAGCATGCTCACAGCAGTCCTGAGGCACAAACCCTGCAATCAAGGGTTCTGGATGAAAAGTTTCACCTGCATTATCAATATTTTGTTTCATTTTATCCAAATTATTTTAAAATATTACATGTTTACCCTAATTATACATGAAATGCTAATATAAAAAGTGATTTGCAGCAAGAAAGCTCCAGAAGAATAAGCTTTATACTAAAAAAGGAGGAAAAGGGAAAACAACAAAGCAACAAAGCAGCACTTTTAAGAGCTCTGTGTATGATTTTGTAATTTATTCTCCTCCCTGCAAAGCAGCAATGGTTCAAAACTTGCATTTCTGTGAGAGCCTGACCAACAATTTCAACAGATCCCTGGTTTATGGGTTTCACTTCCAAACTGAGTGGCCAAAGTATTTTTGAAAAGGAGAAGTCTGCAGGGAACCTCCTGCACATCGGTGGATTTGCATTTCAGGTATCACTGACCAAGAAGCAACATCTCAAAGCCAATTCCTCTGGCTTTTCCACAAAATGTGAGAGCATGAAAAATGGATGAGCCCCTCAGTGCTGAAGGCACTGCCCTGCAAAGCAGGCTGGGTGTGAAAGAAATGCATTATTTATTCCTCATCCAGACCTTCCTGGAACAGAAATTCCTAGCACAGAACAACTCCCAGGATTTCCATTGCAGCTGCAGGGAGGAGAAGCTGCTGAGATCCAGGGAAAGGCCCAAAGCACTCCAGCCCTGCCCTGGGCAGTTCCCAGCAGATTTGGGGATGTGCACAGTGTGCCCCCACACCCAGGAGCTGCCAGCCCTCCCTGGCAGGGAATGAGCCAGCCCAGGAAAGCCATCCTGGCCCAGGGCTGCTCACACACAGCCTGCAGGCAGCCACAGCTCCCCACTGAAGCATCTTCTGCTCTTCACTGGCACCAAAATCTGAAGGTTTGGGGGCTTTGTGAATTTTAGTAATGCAAAGATGACAAATTGCATGGCAGGCACTGATTGTGATGTGGTTTAAATATTTTTTTGAAGTTCAGAAGAAATAACTGAATGTAACTGGTGATGATTCTTACAGGATCTGATTAGAAATGTTTAAATTTGGATACTGAATTCCAATCCCATACTCAGAAAAAAAATCAGTATTTAACCCAAATGTGCTGGCAAAGCTAGGGCTGCTGGAGATGATCTCAAGTCATGACAAGGGACAGCCTGGCCTTGTGACAATAAAGTACAAACCTAAATCCAACAAGCCCCTGCACCTCAGCTGCTCTGCCAAAGCACTCACGGTTAACAAGAAAAGCATGACATGAAATAAAATTTTATAGAATTTATTTATAACTGTATCTTTATAAATAAATTTTATCTGGATATTAAATAGATTTTTTATAATAATAAAAGCATTAACCTATTAGAGAAGACAGCAATCCACAAATTCCCTGTTTCCTTGGGAAGTGAGCAATGCAGCAGAAAGTGCTGGAAGTGAAATCCCTGAGCAGGCAGTGGGAGCCTCAGTTTGTGACACTGCCCCCAGCACTTCCTCTGGCTGCTGCTGTGCTGGGACTGATCCCTGGATTTCCCTTTGCTGGGAACTGCTCCTGGCTCCAGTGCTGGAGAGGTTCCACTTCCAGTGAGCCTGCCCCAAGTCCCTTGGGGAGGTCACCAAACCAGGGACATCAAATTGCTGCAGTTCAGAGGGGGCACAGCAACTGGAATTTTAAACACACCAGGAATGCATTTTTCAGCTGCCAGCCCCACTGCTCAGTCCCTCATTAGCAGCTGTCTGCTTCCCCCTGCAGTTTTGGGAAGCTACTGCTCTATCCTGCATGCCAGGCTCTGGATCTCAGTTTAAGGTTGGAGTCACCCCAAAGCTGCCCTTGGGAGGTGCCAGGGCAGTGGCAGGGATGGACCTGGCCTGGCCCTGCTCCCTGGGACTCCATGGGCAGGAACTCTGCTCCTTCTTCTACCAAATGCCCAGATGGAATTGGAAGCAGCAGCGCCAGAGCAGGGAAGGTCAGAGCCATGCTGGCAGCCCCAGTTAAGCCCAGTGTGGCCTTGCTGGGTGACAGGAGTGCCACTGGTCCCTTGGTGCAGAGGAACAGCCCCGGGCAGGGACAGGCACAAACCCAGCAGCAGCAGGGAAAGGCCTGCATGTGACAGCACAGAAATGCACAACTGAACACAGGACCCAGATCAGACAGCAGCACTCAAAGGGACATGAAGGGAGAATTCTCCCTCTTCCTAATAAATTGTCACTCAGCAAAAGAGTTTTGTTTGTTTAAAACTCAAAGAATTATAAATCACACAGGGAGATTCTAATGCCAGCTTTTATTAAATTCTTCTCAGCAGCTCTTGCAATTAATGACTCCAGCAGATCCAGATTTACTGCTGAAATGTTCTTCTCCAGGCTTTAACTCACAACATGTGACAGGATGTTTTATTCTATACAGAAGCTTCCCCTTATGGAAACAATGGGATCAACCCAAAGGCCCAGGGAGGAAAGGAAGGGTGAGGAGGGGGCAGCTTAAAGGAAATGTCTTCACTAAGCCAATGTTCTCTAACATATCCTAGAGCCTGCAGAAACAGGGGGGTTAAAAAAAGGAAATTTTACTGTTTAGCCCAGCAAGAATCTCAGGCATCACTCAAAAATCTTATTTCTTAAATTCAGTTCTATCACATTCTTACAGAGCTGCTCACAAGAGACTCAAGAATCTCCTCTTGCTTGTGTAGTTGCCAGAACAGGAATTGTGATCCAGCTGCTGCAGGGCACAGGGAGAGGCCAGAGAAGGAACTGCTCAGGGGAATGTTGGGTACTTATTGAGTGTCTCACAGAACACAGGCTGCCAAATCCAAAATCAGAGGCCAGGTGCTGAAGTCCTTGCCACAGGACAGGAGAGCATCTGGCAGGAAGGAGGAGCTGAGGGACTGGGAGTCCTGCTCTGGATGAACTCCTCAGGAAAGGGTGGCCCCGAGAGCAGGGCTAGCACTGACCCTGCAACAGCTGCTGCCTGTCCTCAGATTCATCGTGCAGAGCAGCCCCACGTCACTGTCCCTGTCACTGACAAGCAGCCAGAAAAACCTGCTTGGAATGCATCAAAAGCAATTTGCTGCTCAGTGCCCCTGCTGAGGCAGCAGCAGCAGCAGCCTTGGGAAACAACAACCAAACCCTGCAAAGGTGAATTTCAATCCTTCAAAAGTTCAAAGGTGCAAGCCCAGGCAAGGAACCAGGCTGTGGGTTTGAGAACTTCTTACAGGCTTGTGTCTTAATATCCCTGCAAGTTCTTATTTTGCTTCTCTGTGTGCAGAAGATTACTCAGGGTATCCCTGGAAGGAATCCTGCTGCTTAACATCAGAAATCTCCCTGTGTGGGGCTCTTGAAATGTAATTAGAGAAAACACACAATCCCTCCCTCTCCTTCCCTCTGAGCTGCAGAGCCTCTGCACAGGTGAGTGTTTACTCTGAGCTGCTGGAATCTGGAACACCCAGAGCCAGGCCAGGATCTGCCTTTGCATCTCCAGAATAAACCAGAGGCTTTTCCTACAGCCCTTTACTGAACACCACTCCACAGAGCCTGTTTATTCCAGCTGCTGAACCCAGCAGTGGGGTTTGGAACCAAACCCCAAGCTCACGAGGTGTAACTCCATCAACTTGGCTGGGGCAGGGCTCACACCCAGCTCTCCTTGTGCCCCGAGCCCACAGTTTGTGGCTGCTGCTGCAGCACCAGCTCCTGGGGAGGTTTTGTGCTTCAGACAAGCAGCCAAATCAAATCCATCTCCCCCGGTGCCAGCCCCAGGCTGCTGTTTGATGTCTGCTTCACCAGCACTGCCCTGCATCCAAAAACCCAGCCCGATTTCCCTTGAGCCGCTCCCTCAGAGCTCACTGCCCCTGAGGGCTCAGCATGACCCAGCACTGCTGAGAGGCTGCTCCCCACCTCAGCAGCCAAAAACCACTCCTGACTATTTCTGTCTCATTTGCTGCAGCTGCAATAAAAATAAATAAAAAAATCACATTGTCCTTCTCCAAAAAAACCAATCTTTTGAGTCATTGGAAGGAGGCTTTAAAGGTTTTAAAAGGTTCTCAGTGAATGAATGTACAGCACTGTTTTGGGACTGCAGGACTTTTCCTTAAAAGCTGCAGCATTTAACAGAAACTTTTATAATCAGAATATACAGAATGTTTCACTTTGAAAAATAAATTCATGGCCATCAGTAGCAAGTACAAGGAGCAGAGTTGGAGCAGCAACTGAGGAGTGACCTGGCCAGGAAGGGGCCACTCCAGTGCTGTCACAACTGCCTGAGCTCCTGGTTCTGCTCTGCATTCACACTTCTACAGCTCTGCTTGTATCATACCAGCAATCCTCTTCTAGAGAATAAAACCACACCTGAAAACCTGCAGGATCCAGAAATCTCTCAGAGGAACATAAAGAGCTGCTGGTGCAGTACTTGTGGTGCTGGTGAGAGACAGAATCCCTCCGTTTGGGTAGCTGAAATCACAAACCACCCTGAAGGGCACAATTGCTCAACACCACTGGAAATAAACCTGCAGAAAGATGAGAGCTCAGCTGCCTCCAGCCTTGCTCTGAGAAAACCTTCCCAGTTTGAAGCAGTTGTTGTTCTGCACTGCCACAGCCCCTTTCAGTGGAGTTCCACAAAGCTGAGTGCCAGGACTCAACATTCCCAATTATTTTGGTCATTTGACAGCAGGCAAAGATCCATGTGCAAAATGAGATGATTATCTAAAAATATACCCAAACCAGGAAGAGCAGGAAAATCAACCCAGCCAATTGCCAGGCTTGCTGCTCTTGTCAGAGTTCAGTTCCAGAACAATTTCCCCCCAGTTTTCAGCAGTTTGTCTGTGAAGCTCTGGAGTCCCAGGCAGGAGCTGCAGCCCTGACTCATGCTGACAGTGCTCCTCATTGGGCAGGAATAAACACAAGGAGAAAGAAGGGACTGCTCACTCCCACTGGAAAAAACCCAAGGGCAATGAAATGATGTTTGTGTATAAAGAGGTCAAGGAAGGATTTTTGCCCTCTGCTCAGCAGCTGAGAGATGCACTTGGAGAATGCCCTGTTTTGGGCAAAAACCAAATCAAACAAATCAAACAAACTCCTTCCTACAGCAGCAACAAGACCCTGACTTCCCACAGGGACTCCAGGATGCTCAGGGCTCTGCAATAAAGGAAATTCCAATTAAACACAGGACAAAAGTTTCCAGGATAGGTAAACAGCAGCACAGGGAGCCAGAGGGGCTGTGCCAGAGATGCCCCTGGCTCTGGGCAGGGGCTTGCACTAAAATCCTCAAAGGAAGCACCAGAACACCTCCTGCCACTGCCACTGCCACTCTTCACTGCTGAATTACAACTGGCAGCATCACTCTGCCCATTCAGAGCCCAAAGTGAAATCCAAAGGGATCCCAGCAGCTCCAGCACACACCAGCAGCACTTTCAGTCTCACTCCTCCTCCAAGGGGACTCTGCCCCGTGTTGTCCTTCCCCAGTATTGCTTTTCCCCCTCAAGGACCTTCTACATTAACACAAAGATTGGTTCCACGGATGAGAAACTGCATTTGTCTGTTCCCTGCTGCAGGGTGAGTTTGTCCAGTGTGACAGCAGTGAAATCAAACTCACAGATTTAATGTGGGTTTGTTTGGTTAAAGCCCAAATAACCCACAGGGATCTACTCCAATGGAACCCTGCTCTCTGGATTCCCATAACCAACCCTCAGGGAAACCATCCTGAAATGTGCTGGGCTTTGGAGAGGCACCTTGCAGGCACTCAGGGGAAACCAAGGGATGCACAGACAGTGACAGCAGCAACAGGGAGAGTTTTGGTGCTGAAATTACCAATTTCTGAGTTTTGGTGCTGAAATTACCAATTTCTGAGTCACAGCCACCCCACCCACTGCTCAGACATACAAAGCCTGCCCTGGAACAGGAGTGAGAGCAGCAAGGAAAGGCACAAACATTTGTTACCTAAAAGAGGGAATTTAGAACAGTCAAAGCAGACACTCAAGGGCTTTAAAGGTGCCTCTGTCTAAACAATCAAAACATTGACTGCACACAGATCACTGCACACCTGCACTGACTGCATACAGATAATTTCATACCAACACTGACTGCACACAGATCATTGCACACAGATATTGCACACCTGCACCCAGATCATTGCACACAGATATTTCACACCTGCACACAGATATTTCACACCAGCACTGTGCTCTGCATTACCTGTTTCTCCTCCTCTGGCATATCTTTCTCTAGTTCTAGCAAGTATTCTTCCTCTAGTTCTGTCTGCTTCCTGGAGCTACTCCCGTCCTCCTGAGCGTTCCCTTCATCATCCAGCACAGCTCCCTTGGCCCCAAAGGAGTCGTGACAGTCATGGAAACACTCCTCTGTGGGATCCTGGCCTGGGGAGGGGGCACAGCCCCTGCCCAGGCTCGGGGGGTGCTGGCCATCCCTGGGGGCAGTCTCTGGAGCCTTCTGATCTGACAGCTTCAGGTGATTCAGGGACTCCTCAAGTGGGCTTGCAGCTTTAAATTCTTCCATGCTGGGCTCCTGGCAGGGGTTGTGGCAGTGAGAAAGGAGTGACACTCAATAATCATCATTAACAGACTCATTAGCAGACAAATCCCAGCACCGGGGGGTGAGGCTGGAGGGGAGCACAGGGGGCACTGGGGCCACCCCCTGCATTCCCAAACACGGGCACGGGGGGTCTGTGTGGCTCTGGAACACCCCGGGAGGAGACTCCAGCCCCTGTCTGGGCTCTGCTCACGGCTGGCACTGCCCAGGGCGGTTCTGCCTCCTGGGCAGGGAATTGCTGGGCTCAGCCCCTGCCCGGGGCTCTGCTGGGCACTGCTGGGCCTGGAGCAGAGCTGGCCCTGCTCTGCCCCCTCCCCTCGCATATTTATACACATCTACATGTACTTAATGACTGAATTTATCTTATCCGCATGTACAAAGCTTTAAAATGCTCTTGGCATCCTTAAGGGAAACTCGGATCTCTCGGGGCGGGGGAAA